ATTCAAAAGTTCGTTCAGTTGCGGGCCTGCCTCTACCCGAGGCTGGGGCATTATAATAAACAAAAAAAAATTCTTAAAAGTCATCTTATTCCATCAAAAAGTTCACTCCGAGATCAGCTTTCGTTCGTCTACAAGCAAAAACATTCCAAACACTTAGCACGCAGGCTGACGTCACAAACAACAGCGCCTCGCACCGGTTATTACTTCAGTTCATATCACAACATCGTTATCGCCTTTTACGCATGCGCTTGGTGTCACAATTTTGTCAAGACCTGATAAATCGCCAAATTAAGTTGCGGATTGCGTTTCCTAGGGAGGAAGTCAAAATACGCAGCCGGGCATCGAGTGCCGAGTAGGTCGTCGAGTGGATCGAAGAGTGTCTTAGTGTATCGCGGTTAGTGCATCGTCGAGAGAGTGTGTTAAGTTCTGGGAACGACTGAACAGAAAAGTCGGGAGCTGTGCTCTGTGTGTCGTAGAGTGCCTCACGAGTTGTAGCGTGGAGAGTCTTAAGAGTACGTGAAGTTCCGAAAATGACCGAGCAGAGTCGAGAGCTGTACTCTGGTGCTTTGCAGTGAAGCTGTCTTCCCGTTATAGCCTGATAACCTGAAGGCTGTGTCGCTGATTTTTCCAGCGTGTTTACAGTAGATCTTCGACAACTGTAAAAATTGACTTTGGAGCTGTCCTGATTAAGAGTGGCTAAATAAAGTGTGTTTGGATATTGTTGTAATAAAGTAGTGTTGTCATTATTCACTCCAAATACGCATGAACGCCGTAATGAACGTAATGTACATAAAGAAGAAGAAGAAGAAAAACATAACAATAATTATAGCTTTTTATCTTCAGAAACTAAAACTAAATACTTAATAGCCGAATAAAAGGCTAAGCGCATTTGTCCTTAAAATTATGGAATTCTCCCCTCCACCAGGTTGAGATCCCCTGGCTTTGATAAACCCCAGTATAAATGGCTTTTAAATTGATAGACGCATTCGCAACATCAAGAAAGACCGCGCTTGTAGGTAATTTGCTGTTAAAAACCTTCAGTAATAGTGTTCAACTCGAGATATATTCCTGGGAACAACTTGTGAATCTCTTTACTTTCGTGGCTGAAATCTTTAATTCCTAAAATTTTCGAAGTTTTCTTTCTTCCTGTGAAAATTTTAACCAGATTTTCGCAGAAATGTATTCCCGTTTTCAGAAGAGCTAGAATAGATTTTTATGAGCTTCCTTGGTAACGAATCTCATCTGTGATGTCAATGCAGGAAAACTGTTACAGTAAAAAATCAGGATTTCTTATCAATCATTCAATCCAGAAAAAATCGTACTACACTCTCTTTTTATGTTTTCAAACAAACAGAATGAGAACAGCTAAACGTAACGACAATCAAAGTTACCTTGTAAACAAAGATGGCATCAAGCTTTGCAAGAACTGCTACCAAACAAGCGCGACCATTAATTTCCGCAACTAGAGAAGATGCTAAAAGAAATGTTTTGCGTTTATATAAGTCTTGGCAAAGACAACTTCTGTATATCAGTGCGTTATAGTTGGTAATTTTTCACCGAATAGTGAATCATTTTAATATGTGTAAAAGTTCTATTTTATTAAAGTTCTTAATTTGAATTAATAAAACTTGATTTGATTTTAAAATTTTAATCTATTTCTCAAGTATGCATATTCGTCATTAATACGGAAATAATCCAAGATATAGATATGGGTTTTCCAGATATGGGTTTTCATCCGCAGAGAACCCGTTGGCGTTTCGGGAAAGAACCCTTTGGCGCCGTTGCGGTTTTACTCGCCAAGCTTTCAAGTTAGCAGACAATGGTAGTAAAAATTCACAGATAATAAGTATGTAGATTAAAACTAACAGGTTAAACGTGATATACGAAAATAAATTTATTAAATTCAAGTAGCACAGAAAACAATGTAATAAAAAATTTAAAAATAAAATTATAATTCTTATATTACGTTTACATATACTTATATGTATTTTCTCTAATTCATTAGAATACTATATTTGCTATTACAAATTTCTTTTTCACTATTAAGTACTTTGCCGTTGATTGATGTATTTCGGTAAGGCCATGCCCATGTAATAAATTAATGAATGCCATGACTTTAATATATCCTTTACATATTTTAAGTTTTTTTTTTCAAGTACTTCATACAATTACTTGCGTTTTTTAAAAGCATTTATTTTGCATTACTGCATTAAAGCTTTAGTTGAACAATACCTATCCTTTTTCATAATATTTCACAATAAAAAACCTTCAACAGTAATCAAATTTTCTTCAGTAGCATTTTAATAAAACTAGAATTTATACATTTTAAAATTTATAGGGGTTGGAAACCCATGATCTGCGTGCTTACAGCTGTTAATATTAGAACATCGTGAACAGCCATGTTAAAATTAGCATCACCCCTCCGCCATATTTCTTCCTGTCCCGAACTGACGACCCGAGAACGGAATCTTTCAATGAAAACTTCTTTAATACGCGAAAATATTTCTATCTATTCCTTGTTAAAAAATTCAGAAAAAATAATATAAATCTCCAAATGCGAACGACGACAACCTTCGCATAAGCAAATAGGATAAATTAGCTAGGTTACCAGGTTTGAACTATTATCGCCAAAGTTGGCGATGTTTACATTTACCGGGTTCTCTGCGGAAGTGCTTCCAAAAATATATTTTTGATGCATAACACACTAAAATCTCTCATTTTAAAATGCACTGCTTAGAAATCGACAGTTACTTCAGTAATTATCTGATGTGTAATTACTGTGGTTCACAAATATGTTTGGACACCTGTATTTTTTAAATTTATTTGCTTTGATTTTGTACAAAATATTGAAACGTCGATTTCAAATTTTTTGCTAGTGAATTATATTTTCTCTATTTTGAACCTTTTCTTGTTGTAAAATTACTATCATGAAAATATTTACAATAAAAAATTTGTTCAGAGAGTGTTAATCACTAACTCACATAATAATTTGGATAGTTCAAACTTTTGTTGAAATATTTTGGTAGACAGTATTTCTTGCTCTAATTTTTTGTTTTAATTGAAAATACCTTACAAGAATTAGCACTTGTATGTAAAAATTTGGTTGGATTTGGTTCTGAAGTCAGCAAAAAGTCCTTCATGTAAAGCATTTAGTTATTTTTGATGTAATGCAATGATGGAAATGGCATTGAGTTGTTGAAAATGTACTGAAGCCGGGACCACATTGCAGTGTAACACGAAGGAAATTTTATGAAAAATCAAATGTAATAAAAAAATTGGTACTGCGAAAAATTGGTTCAGCCGATTCAGAAAAATGATTTACAATAAAATTTAACTGTAAAGCTTTTAGAAGAGTCATTTTTAGGTAATATGGATACAATGGGCAATCAACAAGAAGGAAATTGTTTGGCAACAAAGGAAATATGCCTGGCATTTGCAAAATCTATAGTAAGCAAAGTTTTATGATATTGGGACAATGTTATATTTGCAAGAAAATCAAGATTTAACATATTTTGGTCCAATAAACAAATTAAGATGTGGTTAAATTTGAATTAACAACTGAATTTGAAAAATCTGTTGCATAATATTACACAGTAGGTTAGGGATATTTCGTTGATGAAATTTAATGTTTATCGAAAATAACACAGATTAATATAAATATTCTTAATGAAAACTTAGAATGATGAACAAAATACATACAAGTTCTATTAGGATAATAATCTCGAACATATAGCGTGGTTATTATACAAATGTCATTAAGTTATCAAAACTTACAGTTTACATATACTTTCGACAGAAATCCTGTGAAACATGAATGGAGTGATTTGGAGGGAAAAAATAGGAGAACATGACACTTCTCTGAAAACTCTGCAAAAACAATTCTTACATAGTAATGGAACATTGTTATATGAACAAAGTAGTTGAATGTATGCCAAAGATGATGAAAAGTGTAATTTTACTGATTGATATCCAATGACATATTGAGTGTGCTATTGGTTTCTTATTTTTTATTAAATATAAACTGTTTATTCTCAGTTACCAAATACATTACTTTTCAGAACTTTTTGAACTTTATTCATTTTCAGAATTTCAAGTTTATTTCCAGAACCTTTTGAATAATGTATTATCTTTATCAAAACACATTAAATATATATATATATATATATATATATATATTTTCAAAACAGGCAGTTTTAAAATGGATGATTAATAGTGTATGTGGAAAAACAAAGTTATTTTGCTAATGTTTAGTAACTGATATTTACAAATAAACAGAACAACAGAAGTGCCCCAAAACAAATATATAAGCCACTATAACATACTTGGTCTGTGCTAGTCAGAATTAGATAGGTAAGTGAGCAAAGTCCTATTGTTCTGTCAAAATAAGCACAGCATCTGTCTGAAAAATGTTGTGATCTTTCACTGGATTTCCATAGCAGCTCTTAAAGTACATAGTTTTTATCTTTTCAATATGATTTTAACTGATAGTTTTTAATTATTGTAATTATATATGGCATAACTTGCATTACTAAATTTAATAGTTTTAAAAGGTTCTTTACATTTCACATTTTTTATCCTATATTTACCTGTTACGCTTAATGACGTTTAAATTAGTCAAGCACTAGCCAATATTTACACATTTAAAGGCCATAAAAACTCTCATTTAGAGGCCTTGAATACCTTTGCTGGTTCATATAAAATTCAGGAATTTAAATAATGAAACAAAAGTAAGCACAATTTACCATAGTTAGTTATTTCTAATGATTCAGCATGATCTTATTAATTTTAGTTCAGATCTTTATGTAAGTGCTATAAAAAGGAAACTGTAATTTTTCAGTTTGTCTCAGTTGAAAAGTTACTCAGCTAATACACAAGGAAAACTCCTTTTCCCAAAGGCGAATTATGTATTGTGAAGTCATTTACATATTTTGTGAAATTGTAATATTTCTAAGCAAATATATGAAAACATATTTTAGATCAGCTCTCTTAATAGAATTTGAAATGAAATTAAGCCTTTGCAATGATGATTTCAAAATTTGTTTTTAAATATAGTTATGTTGTTCAATTATATTATCAGAAACTCAAGATTATGATATTTGACTGGGCTGATTTGAAAATAGATAATTCTGAACATAAGATTTTAACAAGTGCAAAAAGGTACACTAATTTGAATTTAAAAACTAGGCAAGATTGTTTTAGATTAATATTGGTTTTCTAGAAAAGCTATTTGCACTTTAAGGAAATTTTTAATGCAGGTCTTCCTTCATTTAGGAGCTGAAGTTTTTTATTTTGAACAACCGTTATTAGTATAAAGTTAAATTTTGACCGATTTTAAAAACAAAGTATTTGGAAAATTAATAGGAAGTGCAAGGAGACTATATTTAGTATAAGAAAAAATAAAGTAGGCAATACAGATTCTTTTGAAAAAATCTACAAGATGATTCTCGGGTCAACTTCCTAAAAATATATCTTGAACAAATGTAAGAAGTTAAAAAGAAATGTAAAAAACTTCTTTGTCAACAAATCAAAATTTTAATTGTTCAAAGGTAAAAACTAAAGATTAAGTGCTCTTCAGTTATCGGGATTGATTCAGAAATGTATGTATGTGCATATATGTGTGTGTATATTACACAGTCGTACATACATGCATATATATATATACATAATTAAAGAAAAATAAAAGACCTATGTGGTCAAAAACTTTGCGCATTGAGCTGCAAAATTTAGAAAAAAGTTAAAAGAAAATTCCTAGTTCGTTAGCTAAAATGTTATTTAGATAATGTGGTTCCATGAAAATATTAACATAAGTAAAACAAAGTGCTATGAAAAGTGTAATAAAGATTAAATAAACAATATAAACATTTGAATATTTACAAATAAAATTTAATACTAATTGTAAGCAATATGCTGATCAAAGTAAGACACACACACACACATATATATATATATATATACTATATATATAGATGCAAAACACAACTTGGTAACTTTCTCATGGAAAACTTCAGTAATTTAATACATACATGAAGAAAATTGGTTGCTAGTTAATGAAAATTATATATGAATATTTGATATCTTCTGCAATTAATAAAACTTTTCATTTGAGTGTATCTTAGAGCAGGATTTCTTCAGCTTTTTCAGTTGCAATCCCTTTTTATCACTGAGATTTTTTCGCAACCCCCAGGACCCCATAATATTTACAAAATTTTATGGGACCCCATAAGTATTGTGCAAATCTGACACGCACGTGAGTGACACTGTCAGTTTTTTTCACTTGTACTGTAATATACTATTGCAGTTTTTAGGTCATTTTAATTTCTAATTTTAAGACATACAACAATGTGAAAATTTTAAATCAGTAACAGACGAAATGACAGAGTCACGTGCAAAGCAAGGAAAATGAACATTTATATCATAAAAAGAATGCGTCAAAACATTTTAATTTTTTTCTTTGTCTGTATTGTCTTATCTTTATTTATTTTCGGATACATTGTGTAAAAATATTTGATAATTGTAAATTATTATTAAGAAATATCAAAACTGTTAAAATTTTTGGCAACCTACAGTTTAAGAAACCCTGTCTTAGAGATTAGTAATGATTTTTCATTAATTTAGAGAGTAGTAATGACTTTTAATAATTTATCAGAAATTAATTATATGTATTTTGCTGTGTTTTAGTACAAGTACATAATTTGCCTATTACCTTGAAGATGGGAAGAGAAAAGATAAAAGAAGAGTTTTTGAAGCATAAAGATGTAACTGACATCCGAGTTATTGACATGTTAATAGCCAAGGTAATTTTTTAAAACACGTGAATTATTATCCTGAAATTGATTGATTTGGTTATTAATGTGTTACTATTTTTATTATTATTTGCTACTAGTTGATTCTTATTTCCTTGGAAATTTTTGTTATTCGGCTTTGAGCATTTATATATCAGAAATATATTTTAAATAATTTATTAGTAGTCTCTTTGTTTTAGTAAAATAATGGGTACTTTTCATTTAAGTCATGTGTCAGCAATTGTGCAGCAAATTACCGTGTGGTAACCGATTATTTCGGTACATGAGTAGCTGTATATTGATGTGATTGCAAATATGTAGAAAGAATGACCATCAGTCCTGTAATTTTCCTTTCAGCATTTCACTTTTATTTTAGTACTTGAATTTTTACTTCCTTGTACAAGGTGAAGGAAGTATTGTGTTAGATCCAGTTGTGTCTTGTGTAGAGTTAATAACATCCGGATTAATCTTGTCGTTTATTTATAACAGACTAACTAACTTATTTACACTTTATAGAGGGTAAAAGAAACTATATTAATAGGAACAAAATTGCTGATTATACAGTTTGCTTTACTAAACATTCCTCCTCCTTAATCTCCAACTAATATTTCTCTTCACTTAGATAGAGGGTGCTACTTGCTTTTAGGATTAAAGTTTATTAGGACTAGACACTACACCTTTCTCATTATTATTTTATAGATAACTGCATGCAATTTTATTTTGAATTTCTGTATTTGATTTTGTTTTGCGTAATTTTTAAATTTAAGGAAATAGCCTTTTTTTTTTTTTTTTTTTTTTTTTTTTTAATGAAACATACATTGTACAAACTCTTAGATCTGGAATCATTGGGACTTCAGCAATTCTGGATTTGGGATATATCTGGATCTTAGATTGCCTTTTTAAACCTAGTAAAATGACATGTAAACAGGACAATATAGGGCTTTGCTTATTATTTGCATCAAACACATGCTCCACAATCACTCAAGGGTTGAAAATGTGTATTGTCATTGGCTATGGTGCCATTTCTTTAGCCAGCAGGTGTTTGAATGGGACATGCAAAAATGTCAGTTAGTCTAGAGAAAACTTACATTTACGGCACACCGTCTTTCTTTTGTTGAAAAAGCAGGCTAATCAATATTCTCCAATCATTATTTTTTTAAATATTATTTGATTTGGGCTATTAGTCCCAAAACGGAATTTGGTGGTGTATCACTTTTTAAATTGTTGCCATGAAATATTATCACCCTGTATTACTTTTAAAGAAATTAAATAATGAAGAATCTGCATAAATGTATGTATGTTTCTTGGACTATGAAAAAACAATAGTACCTAGGTCCATCAAATTGTAAATAATGTAGTCGTCTACCTAAACATGTACATGAGCATGTTGAAAACTTGAATTTTATATTTCATATTTTGTTAAACTTTGATGAATTTTTAACAAACTCAATGATCTGAAAGCAAGCAGTAGCAACACTCCATGGATTAAAACATTGTTATCTCCTGCGTGTAAGACTATATCTGACATGCTGTTTTTAAATAATTTTTGATTTTGTTACTCAACTGAATTTTATGTGGCGTAAGTACGAAGGTCATGATATTTAATTAATAAATTTTAACATACAAAACATTAATAATAGAAAAACAAAAACAAAAAAAGTTTTCAAGCCATCTCTCTAAGAAAACTGTACATTGATATGATATACTAAGAAAAGACTGAAAATAGAAAAATTAATGCCATCACTTAACTTTTCATTGGAAATTCTAAACACAAGCTGCTTATAAAATTTTTTATGATTTTGCTGTTGAATTGTGTATGGCATAAGTGCAAAGAAAATTGGGGTTTATGATAAAACCAAAAAGAAATGGGTTAGCAGGAGTGAATGCAACAGCAGACTTGCAGACTGCAAGCTCAGTGAAAGCATAAGAAAACTTTAATGAACCCTTTTGGGCAACCATTAAAATCTAGGCCTTTTCAGTTTTTTTTTTTTTTTTTTGGTTGGTGCTCAAGAGGTCCAGTTATTGGATCATTCCGGATATTGCACATCCAGATTTCAAACTTTGTACTATTTATAATTAGGGTTACTATTCTTTTACCTAATTAGATTTTCACTCTAATGCAGTCAAAAGTCGTTAATCTGGACTCATTGGGACTTCGGCGGTTCCGGATTATAGATCATCAGTTTAAATCTGGTAAGATGGCATGCAGAAATTATAAAATTAAAAATATGAAACCGTAATTTATGAAATAAAGAACAATTATGATCTAAAGGGTATCAAAATTTACAAAAAAAAAAAAAAAAAAAAAAAAAAAAAAAAAAAAAGCTTAATATTTATTTGTTTACTTTATTAAACATTTCTTTCAGTTTAAGTTGCTTCGTTTTATGTGATAGTACTTTCTCTTTAATTCTATAAACAGACATAATTTCTTCTTCAGTTACAAAGTTCCGCTGTTCAAATCCTAATTGCTGTATCGAGAATACCGACTAATTTGTCAATCGAAATTTTTTCGTTTTCAATAACCTCTGTGTCACTTTCTTCACTATCGGAAGCGAATTATAATGACGAAGAATTTGATTTAAATCATATCAAAGACGGAGTATATCAAGATGAAATACTACATTTAGTAAGGAATTATAAGCCAAATAAAATAAAAACATCTGCCCTGAAGCTAAAGATAGTGTTGACAGATCAACTTCCAATTCATTGCGCACCGCGGCGTTCCCCCCCCCAAATGACGAAGAGTCACAATTAAATTTTTCAAAGACAAAAATGGCACATGTATTGAAAGACCTTTGTTTGAAAAACCACAAAATGAAATTGTTGGTTACTGCCAGAACACTTTTTAATCTAGTAGAATAGTTATCAAAAGTGGCTTGAATAAGAAAAATTAAAATAAGTAGGTGTATGTTGCATTATATTGGAAGTGTTTTGAAATTTATGTTTATGTTTAGATTCTGTTTGGTCATTCAATTGTGAAAAGTCTAAATGTGTTTTTATGAGAATTCCAACTTCAGACTGCAATAATTCTTTATCCTTATTTAGGTATACTATTATATTACTGTTACTGAAGATACAGATATAGTGAAATCCCCACGCCTCTAAAATGTCTGCTCATTATTAAATAATTTTGGCCTTCTGCTGAAGTAGCTATCTTAGAGAGGAAATTTTTCAGTACCTACATTCATGTATTCTATACTAGCAAGAGCATCTGACTTTAATCTCACCAGTGTTTTCTCAAATTCTGCATACTGATCAGTCATGCGAGATGCAATCATAAACACAAATGCACATGGGCCATTCACACCGATTTACTAAATATGAATGTAAAGATTTTATCTTTGCGTAGAAAGAATAACATCCTTTGTATACCAGATTAACAATCCTAGCACTGAAACATGTAATGGTGAGCCCATGGGGTGTTACATGACTACTGTTTCTCTCATTGTGATAAAAAATGGGGACCCAGAGCCATCATATTTTGAATAATGTCCTCCAGCTAATATGGGCATCCGAAAGTCCTAATTTGGAATTTGTTTTATTACTATTTCATACTTTGTTAGACTTTAAAGAATTTTTATTAAGAAACTCGACATTTCAAAGCAAGGAATGGTAACACTGTACGGAAAAACAATTTTTTTATTTCCAACGCGTGAGCAATGATAATTGTGCTAGTATTTTATAGTTATTAAAATTTTGGTACTACAGTCAAAAGTCGTTAATTCGGACACCCATAATTCGGAATGATCTATAATCCGGACCTCAAAACTAAAAACTTTCCTGCGCATGCGCCGCGTTGACACGTGCGCGTAAGACCTTTTACGACTGCGCATATGAGTGTGCGCAAGTGCAGAATACGTTTCGCGTGCGCGTTTTATGTATAATGGACGTATAAGCTAAAATTATCTAATTATCTATTTCAGTTAACGTTGGTGATTGCGTTGTTCCTTAATTTTCGAATTGGATCCAGCTTATTATTTTTTGCAGACTGTAAGAGCAATTTTATAAAAGTAAGCTTAAACTTTCGATTATATCAAATAGAATTTCCGATATATATTTGTTAATATGTAAAGGATCTAAAGCGAAAGTATGTTTTGAAATCCGAAATCTGTTTATCAATTTCACGCTGCTTGGCGGGGGGATCGCCGCGGCAGGCTCGTAATGAATTGGAAGTTGATCTGTCAGCACTATCCTTATCTTCAGCGCAGATGTTTTTATTTTATTTTGCTTATAATTCCTTACCAAATGTAGTATTTCATCTCAATATGCTCCGTCTTTGATATGATTTAAACAAGTTCCTTGTCATTATAATTCGCTTTCGATAGCGAAGAAAGTGACAGAGGTTATTGAAAACGAAAAAATTTCGATTGACAAATTAGTCCGTGTTCTAGACACAGCAATTATAGGACTTGAACAGTGGAACTTTGTAACTGAACAAGAAATTATGTCTGTTTAATAGAATTAAAGAGAAAGTATTATCACATGAAACGAAGCAAAACTTAAGCAACTTACATTGAAAGAAATGTTTAATAAAGTAAACAAATAAATATTAAGCTTTTTCTTTTTGCAAATTTTGATACTCTTTAGATCATAATTGTTCTTTATTTCATAAATTACGGTTTCATATTTTTAATTTTAGAATTTCTGCATGCCATCTTACGAGATTTAAACTGATGATCTATAATCCGGAAAAATCGATAATCCAGAATCGCCGAAGTCCCGACGAGTCCGGATTAACGACTTTTGACTGTATTCTGTTTTGAGGACCGTAAAAAATTGCCAAGCTATTGTTGATGCCAGTGCTGTCCAAAATAATTGCGGCAACCCTAATGCAAGAAAGGAAGTAAATAACTATCTGAAGATTATTGTTTTAATTTAAATGAAAGATTAATTTCATATAATACTTTTTTATTATTATAATTTATATAAAAATTCTGATGTGTACACCACATGACTTCCTTGTACGGAATATTAAATTATACGCATTTTTTCTTCCATTTCGTTTAAACTTA